ATATTATAATATTATGTAGGTACAACCCATGTTATTCCACTAAAATGTAGCAAACATTAATTAGGTACGTTTTATTAATGACGATTTGTAAGGGATTAGGGTGAATAGTATCATAATATGACCCTTTTGTCAATCTAATGTAGATCTATATAAAACAATATACTAATTTATCATTGATAATCTATAAAATTTTTTGTTGAATTGAATAAAATTATTTATTTTTTTTTTATCTATAATATTATTTATAATACAATATTATATAGTGGTCATTGTTGTGTTTAATGTTTATAATCGATTAATGTAGTATATAATATCAAATCATAATATATCGTTATACAATTAAACAAAAAGGTTAGTTTAAGAGATTTTCAACGTTTGTTGCCGTATAAGTACATTGGTTCATATAGTACAACATAGCTCTATAAATTTTAATAACGCAATAATTTGTTGTAAAAATCAGTTTGGAAAAAACAAATATATTTCTTTAAGTTCACGGAAGCAATTTAAATTCGTATTACATATTATAAATGGTTGACACCATATGGTTGGTCAATGAAAACTGAGTATTTCATGATAAACATAATATAATAACATGACAAACATGATATATTACCACAAGAAACTGGTCTGGTCTTTAGATATTTAAAATAAATATGTATTTTATACTGTATCATTATCACAATAATATAAATTAAACATAATATAGCATATATTTCATCAATACATTATGTATATATTCATGTATGATAAATATTTTATAGCGTAAAATATCATTATACAATGTAAATACAAAAAAATTTAAATTAATTAATTTGCTTTAATTAACCAAATACAGTATATTCTAAAATATCAAAGTAAAATTATATAGATTTTGTCTGAGATATATATTTATTTTCTATTTGAATATTTAAAACAATAATTCTTTGAACTTGAACTTATAAATGTATACCTTGTACTTACGTTGATCGTAATCGTCTAATAATTTATTGAGTTTGAAAAAAATCATATCAAAAATAAATTTCATAAAAAACGCATACAAATGTTGAAATTTCAAGTACAGTTATCATGAATGATATTGTATTAGCCATCCCATTTTTTATTTTATTTAACAGTATTATGCTTATTAGCGTTATCTGTTTACATTTATTTTATTTTATTTTGATAGAAAAGCATAAAATCTATTGTTCTTATAATAAAAGAAAAAAAAAACCATAATCTTAACGTTAATACGATAATTATTTGTAAATTAGTATAGAAATATTATACTATAGATTATAGATTTATAAGAGCATATTTAATATTGCTACTACAATAACGCATTGTTTGTTAAAGTGAAGTAATATTATTTATCTTTGCAAATAAACAATACGTAATTCTCAGTTTATGTACGAGGTCTATTGACTATCATGGACGTACATGTATTAAATACTAACTACCCAGTACTTATTTATAATTTATTGTTAAAACGTACGTTTTCCACCCAATTATACTACATTTTATCAAAAAATTTAAATTCATTTTTGATGTTTCTATCGCGTGCGTCGTTTTAACGAATTATTTCGATAAAATTATACACTCAAATGTCTCTGACGTGGACGACCGCCACGATATTGTAGTTAAGTGAAACACTTGTACACAAAAATAATAAATGCATAATAATATAATAGAAAATTGAGAATAGAAAAAAATAAAATAACGTCTATATAGATTTGACGTATTAAAAATGTATAAGCCATCCGGTAGAAAACATGTTATCCGAGTGCAAACTATAACGTAATTATGTGATATTCATATTATAATATTGTATTATGTGTAGGTACGTGTAGTATAATATTTGGTACCATGGTATAAAATAAATGGTTTTTTTTTTAGAACAATTAAAAACGGTGCGTCAGGAGGAACACGGGCAGATGGCTTTCGAACGGAAATCGTTTTTTCCATCCATCTTAATATTACTATTTTAATAAAAGCTAATAAAAAGATGTCCCGCCGATGAATGTCATCATCTACGACGGAGAACAATCGAATGCGCGTAGCCCATTTTTTAATCAACACGAACACAATATTTTCTGATTATTATTTTATTAATTAATTGTATTCCTTTTTGTAATTTCTTTCTCGTGACTATTTTTGTTTTATTTTATTTTAATGTACACGTATACATTTTTTTTTTTTTTTTTAAAGGCGACCAGTCATTGTCAGCTCGGCAGGTATCCGCATAGTTTTTAATGAAGTTCCCCATTGAATCAATCAACATCAACTGCGCTCATTGGAATCATTAATTCTGTCAAAAATGAAACGTACTCGTAAAATCTAATTACTATTTATTTCTGGTTAATATCTTTCACCGCGTACCTATATATTGGATATATTGTTACTAAAAAAAAAACAACTGTTACTATATAATATTATCGTTGGCCACGGGCCACGGAGGCAAAGTTGTGTTATACCTGGTAACTAATAGTGTTAAGTACGTACCTATAATTGATGTTTAAGCAGGACTTTTTTTTTATCATATTGTAAATGCGAGTAGATATTTTTCAACTGTTCAGATAAATATTAAGTATAATATGCAGTTAAAAATAAATTGTAATAATATTAATAAAAATTTTATTGTGTAATAATAGCAGCAGGGCAAAAATGCAATGTAAAATATCACTATTAAGTGATTTAAAATTTTTTTAACAATAGTATTATGAGAATAAAATGTAGTTTTAAAGTAATTTTTTTCTAGTTTAAATATTGATATGCAAAATCGCACCAGTGTAGCTATATACAACAATTAATGTACTCGTATAGTGGAGTTTTGTCTATATATAATATAATAATATGAAGATATATCAATTTGACGATTTCTTATAATCTTTTGACATTTTTAATATTTTAGATATCATAATGTCGAACATGAATTGAGTGTACAAATGTAAATTTTATTTTTAATAACTAGAGTAGCAACGAAAATGTCAATATACCTGTAATATTGAAATTTAACAATAAAACTAACATTTTAACAATTTAATCTATTATTTTTATGCAAAGATCTGCTATTGTAATGCTCTAATAAGCCTATTCGATATTCCTCCACTTCCTTTTATTTTATTTCTCTCTCTCTCTCTCTCTCTCTCTTCTCCTTCCCAACCAAGATCAGATAAATAAAAAAAAAATTTACTCAAGTTAAGTGTCACTAATAGGTGACTTCTTACTCTCGAATTCACTTGTTAATATTACTACATCACATATACCCATTGTGTTATTATCGTGTAGATTGTATATTTATTATAAAAATTAAAAAAAAAAAAAAACCATTATTTTTAAATCATTATAAATATGTAGCTCATAAAATAATTGCATTTTCAGGGTTGACAAGACGTATATACTACTGGAATGAAGATATCTTTATAGCTCGGAATAATATCCTCATTCCTGGTTAAAAATAAACGTGAATGCAACCATAATATATATATATATTATATAAAGCTAGGTATAGTTATTGCACGGAGGGAAACGGATGTATACAATATGTTGTACAATATGTATTTAGTATTTACCATTAATTTTACTGCAGTAATTTGTGTTTGAAATATTTATTTATTTTTTTTTTTTTATATATATAATACTGGGTAGATAGACCAGGAGTTAGGCGTGGAATCCAAGGCAATAAAATATTTATTGGCTTTTATAAAAAAAAAAAAAAAAAACAGAACATATTGTATGATATTTCATATATATATTTTATGTTTTATACGTTAACTAAATTAATTTTATGAGGGTCTGATATTAAATAATATAATAGAGCTTAATTCTGAGAATCACATTTTATCGAGGAATATGTTTAAACCAGCTGCAATACGAGTATACATACGATAATATTTTATTTTTTTAAAGACAACAGTAATATTTTAAGTAGCGCTTATTAATATTATTATTATTATTTTGTGGGTATGTGTGATCCTTCAACTGATCATAGTATTAATAAATAATATTTTAGATATTATTTTGATACTGGGGTATAATTTCGACATTTCTAAGTCGCAATAATATTACATATTATTCATCATAGTATAATATGATCTTGACCTCAATAAAAAATTTTCTTTTGTGTCATTATCGTATGCAAATAATTAGAACGATTTAAAAAAATATATATACCTACTCTTATATGCAAAGAAACTTACTTGCACAAATGTTAAATACACTTACAAGTTTACTTTTAATAAGCTCAATCGGTTCAATATAACAAAAACAATTAACTACATACTTATTCATAATATTGTTCACGATAACATTTTTATTTTATTTACTTATTTACTTATAATTTAATTATCTAACCTATGTCTATGGCTACAGCCACAACGTTTGTAATTTATCATAATCACGATATTTTTTTCTATGGTATCATGTAATAATACTAGTTGACATTTAATAATATGATATGAATTACACACTGAAATACTTGAGTTTTAAATTCTAATAACATAGGTACCTACTTAACAATTAATAAGTTGTGCAAATAAAATATTAAATAAACACTTGCGTATTAGGATGAAAAATACTTTTATATCTTCCAATAGGCTAAAGTGGCGTATTAATGTATAAAACAAAACAACAATTATTTAGATACTCGAAAAACAAAGGACGTGCAATATTTCTTATGTCGTAAATGGCTCGCAAAATAATACTGTAATCGATGTCATTTGTAATTTTCGTTAGAGTTATAAAAAAATTAAGTGGATGGTTTGTAAGTGACTTAATGTACGTCATTCATTAAAAATTATTAGATTTGAAGCTTGTCTCGGTGCTAAACAAGTGTTTTTTTTTTGTTTTTTTTTGTTTGAATTGTACTTCATAAATCTTAAATTTATTAATCATCAAAGATATCTCACGCAGTTTTTAACAAGCTATTATAATATTATTATATAGGTACTACACGATATAATATCGTCTTAAAAAGTTTTTTCCGGTACTGTTTATTTAATTGCAGACGATATATATAAATGAGATCATCGGAACGTTTTTACAATTATTATTAATACGTAGTATGAAGACGGTCGTCAATATAAGATCGAGGTGACTATTGACTTCAGTTCGTCATACGTATTCTCTAACTTACTCAACGAAATAAATCATGCATTCATTTATTTCATTTGTGATTTTCGTTTCATCTGTGATTTGGGTGGCCACCGCAACCGACGTGGCTTTTACTAAATCGTCTAACGAGGTATGTCATAGGTGATACCTTTATTATTATTATTATTATTATTATTATTACTATGGTTATTTTTTAAATAATAAAAACTTTTCCTTCACCGACGCTACCGTGGGCCTGTAAGTAAAATATTATGTGTAAATAGTCTGCAGTCTTTATGCACATATTGTATGACACACCCACCAAGTTCCTTTGAAAACTCTTATACGATATCATGAGGGTTGGCGGTAGTCGTTTTCAATCTCTTTTGTCAAGACCCGTACACGTATTGAATTTCTATAAAATCCATCCGGTTTCCATGTCTTGTTATAGATAGTATAATATAGTATTTGTCTAAAACGTGTTCGTATAACGATCACAGTAAAATGGAGGGTAGATTCCACCGATAAATATTTTGACCGTTTTCGTGAAATTAAATCGCTCTAGTAAGCTACCACTGCTGTGGTTACCGTGATAATAACAGTAGTTGGCATATGCTTCACTTAACCCAGTAGGTACCTAACTTTAATGTATAAGTTGTGTCATATTATCCTTATAGGTTTTAAGTTTTTGCGTCGCACTCGATTAAGTTTTGATTTACAAGTGTTTATTTTTTAGAATTTCAGATCTAAAACTCGGAAATCGGTTCAAAAAATAAACTACGACAACTGGTTAAAAGATAGAAAAACTTTTGATATCAGTTACAAAACGGATATACCGAAGGAATTCGATGCGCGTCAGTATTTCGTCAATTGTGCAAATGTCATCGGTGATGTCAAGGATCAAGGAAATTGTGCTTCTAGCTGGGTAAATAAATATACTATATTCATATAACTATATCGTACTATGCAAAATAAATATTGAATCAAAGTCTATATTATTATTATAATAATTCGAATGACTTGAACCTAATAATACAACTACAATGTCTATTAAAGTCACACGGTCAAAGCTTATCGTTTGTTCTATGCGTATTTCAGGCGGTAGCAGTGGCTTCAGCTTTCACGGATCGGCTTTGTATAGCGACCAATGGGAAATTTACTGAAAACTTGTCCGCACAAAACCTAATGTCTTGCGGTAATAGTGAAAAATTGGGTTGTGATGGTGGATCGGCGTTTAAAGCTTGGGAATTAACTTTGGACAAAGGAATAGTGACTGGTGGTAACTTCAATTCCAATGAGGTATATATAATATATATACCTAATATATATAATATAACACATACGACGAATTAATAATACTTTAATAATTTACCGTCAACATAATTTAATCGAGTTATTGAACGTAATATGGTTAATATTATACATAATATTTGAATATTTGATTTTATATAGGGTTGCCAGCCGTATAAAAACAGGCCTTGCGATCATTATGGTGATAGCAACATGACAAATTGTTCGAATCTCCATAGAACACAAATGACAATTTGCAGAAAAAAGTGTACTAACAAAAACTATAAAGTTAAATACGAAGACAATTTGCATAAAAGTAATTATATTTCACTACTTTAGCATTTTCTTTTACAGTGTATTTGGCATATGCCATAATATGTTTGAACACTTTTGTAAATATTGTCTTTAAGACTCTGGTAGATAATATAATAATTAAGCTCCTTCTAGTTTAGTACTTTAAAAGTGTCTACGCACAACATTACTTATCATCACAACAGCACTTATCACATCAAATAATATATATGCGTATGTTTTTTTTTTGCCATAGCTTCGGTCGTTTACATGACTTCATGGACAAACGTCACACAAATTCAACAAGAGATTATGACCTACGGCCCTGTGACTGCGTTCATGTATGTGTACGAAAATTTTATGGGCTACAAAGAAGGTTGGTACTTGTAGTACAATAATTAAGTCTTATATAGTTATATAGTTATAAGAATTTCCATATTTGTATCAATCAGCTTAAAAAGTAATAGATAGATAAACTACAAATATGAATAAGAGCATATATGAACTATTATGTTGGAGTATATATTTTTTTACATAATTTTTGAATATTAATCTTTATAATTAATTACAATGCAAATTTCTAAATTTTTTGAAAATAAAATGCATGTTTTATTATGGGAAAAATTAATTTATTTTGATTTCAATTTTTATAAAAGTTTTGCTTGCTTATTATCTTAAATATTTTTAGTGAATTATGCATAATTCTGGCACTAAAATATTTTAATACTATACCTAGCTACCACTGACATTAATTACATTATATTGTGCGCAAACAATCTAAGATAAGAGTTGTAAGTACGCTAATGCACCTAACCACGAACATTTGTCGTACTTACAGGAGTTTACAAGTCTACGGCCGGTGATCTTATAGGTTACCACCACGTCAAATTAATTGGATGGGGTGTTGACAACGATGGAAACGAGTACTGGTTGGCAATAAATTCGTGGAATTCAAATTGGGGAGACAATGGAATTTTCAAAATCCTCAAAGGTTACAATTTCTGTTCGATCGAACTCTTAGTGATGGCCGGCATCGCAGACGTTTCTTAGTAATAATCATGACAATAATTTTATATTATTTTTATCATATTATTTGTATTATTCCTATTAGCATAGGTAGTTAATTTGTTATTTATTTATATAATTGTTTTTGGCATTATTTTGTAACATAGTATTTTAATGATTGTATATAATAAGAAATCTATGTATATTTTAATAATTTATTGTACATACTATAATATTTCGTATAACATGATGTATTGGCTGATATAGTAATATGATACATGTTATACGGAACTAATTTATTTGATATTTTCTCACTGCAGTACACAATATATTATGTAAACTTTTTTATACAAAAATAAATTTAATCGAAAACAAATATTATTTACGTCATAAATCATATCGCATAAACATATTTTAATTTCTAGACTCTTGGATGTGTGTGTTTATGTTTCGAATATTCCCCCGTGTGGTACTTTTTCTTCTATGCAATTGCTTCGTATACACTTTTTCACATAAAAATATAAAAGTAATCCTTCAATGAATACAAAGGTATTTCTGACAAGGCAGTTCTACCTATATAGCCAAATGGAAAACGATATGAAATTTTAAATTGGAAATGCCAAACTTATGAAACGAGGAATCGAACAGTAGCATAAGGCCGGAATTGCCCCTCTCTTCGTTTTAAAACAAAATGGAAAAGAGGGTTTGCGACAGTTGTCATACGCTAAAATATATGATCCATAATTCACAAACGATTCAAAAAAAAAAAAAAATCATCAAACTTTGTTTCAAGCAACTCAGATAATATGTTTTAAAATAAAAAGAAAATGATTCAAGAACAAAGAAATGGTTAAATGATCGATAGAAAACTAATAAAAATTTAAAACAGTTGGTGTGAATATTTTCAAAAAGGACATTCAGAATATATTTTCAACTAATTTTTAAGTATTACGTAATAATGTAGGAATTATGTTATACATTCGATGTACATTCATTTTATTTTGCAAGAAAAAAAAGAGTAGAATTGATTATAATTTCAAAAATGACGCATATTAATTATAATTATAGTTATATGTTATAACGTAATAACATGTGCATAAATATTTAGAAGTTTAATGTATTTTGATATGCCCAAGTGGTATGCACTAAATTCATCAATAAATATTCGATAACGCCTTCTTTCAAAGTGTTAAGTGTTACTTGAAGGTCATAGTGTACAAACATTTTTTTAAACTTATATTATAGTTCAGATTTATTATAATAATATAATATTTGTTGAAAACTGTGAACATCATAAAATGTGAATGACGTTTAATTGAGTTTATACTTTCTTGATAATTACACATTTTCACAGTCATTTAAAAATTTAGTTGAACGTTAAGTTCACACTCAAACAAATTCAATTAAATAAATAAATCGTGAATAACGATTTATGACATTTATTCTCTATATTGTACAACACTGTGTCGGTTGTGAGGTTGTGACACAAAATTTAATTTATCAACAACCATATTTTAATTTTTTAAATACGTTTAATATCTATTAGCTAATACATAATTTTTGCATTTATAAATTAATAACTGTTTGAATAAAATATAATTTTAAGTACTGAAATATTAATGTATTAGGCTTTTTAAACCAACATACTAAAAATAAATAAATGTATATTACATTATGTTTTAGAGATACGTTTGAAAGTCTATAGTAAAATAGTTTCATTGAGTAAAACTGAATTGATTAGATCAAAACATAAATAAATAAGTGATAATAAGTACCTATTTGTATTAAAGTTTTAAAATTATCAAAAATTAATCATAAAATTTATTATTGATATATACATATTTTAACATGAGTAAAAATTATTATAAATAATTATAATTATGTAAAATATTGTTTTTAATATAAAATTATAATTTATAACGGTTAAAGTACATAACACATGAGATATAAAATTGTTATAAATTAAGAAAATAAAATTATTTAGTACATTTTTTAAAAATTAATTAAGTATTAACCAATAAACTATGCGATCAGTTAAAAATAGTTAAAGACTTATTTGTACCACGACTAATATTGACGAAAACGTTTTAAATAATTAATCGATTGTTTAAAAAATTAATTATTTGGTTTTTGTTGTGGTTAAATATGCAGTGTGACACTAGATATTAAGTATAAGTATATTAAACTTATAAATTGGAAGTATTGTCAATAGATTATCGCTTCTTCTTCTACGTTTTTAATCCTTGTACACTAATTGGTAACTTCTTTACTCATCGTAATAGTTTGTAAGAAAAAATTAAAAATATATTTTAAATAAAAAATATTTATTAATAAATTAGATTTTTTCTAATTTATATTTCCTATCATAATAATATCCAAACGTTCTTCTAGAATACACTCAACAATATCTCTCTAAGTGTATTTGGTTTTCATCTTTAAAATCAATATAATAAGACTTCAAATCGATTATTCTTGTAAAAATAGGTATACGTATGTAATTTATTTAAAATTTTCAGATTACTAAGAAGCTCTAAAACCATTATTCATCTTTATTAAATTGAACTCGTTTAGAATAATTATCCGTGTAGGAATACCTACATCAGAAGTAAAATAAAATGACTATGTAGTTTGCTCGCTGCAGAGTGCAGACTTTTAATTTCACTTAGACACGGAACTATAAATGAGGTTAATGCCAATAAACATTTTAACTATTAAAATGCTAAACATAATTTATTGTTAAGCCATAAAGGTATACAACATAATCTTATAAATAAACATTTTGTAAGTAAATAAGCTTCAAATAAAATTAATATTGTTTGTTTTGTAATCGAATAGCAATAAATCATTAAACTGTGTACATATTTAATGCAATATATTGGTACTCGTATATCATTAAATAGATTTTATCTGTGGCATATTCAATCTGAGATGTCACAACTAAATTGCTACTGAGAAATGATAATAATATAGACAATAAGACGTGGTTATTTTTTGCATTAACTTTTATCAGTAATGAAACGAGCAAAAAGTTAGATATAAAAATTGGATGGGACTATATACCTATTTAGAACTTGGAATTAAGTGTACTTATAATATTAAAATTTGAAATAATTTCATGTGAAAAATTATTTCGAACAAAATTGTTATAACCCAAAAGTGATTAAAATTTCCTTGAAAACAAAACGATTGCCTTAACAGATTTATATATACTTGGTTTTTTGAATGGAATGAAAAGAACAGAACTGTACAAACAAAAGTTCCCTTCAAGTTCCTTTAAGAATTGTAACGATTTCGAGAAATTATAAAATTCCAAATTAAAACGTTTTTGAATTTCCTTGCGATTCCTTGCAACAACCAAGGTGAATAGTACCAGTGTGGCGTTGATGCAAAAGAATTTTTAACACAATTTTAGAACAAAACGCATACAAAACAAAAAAATGTAATATTATAAAATGTTTTCATATTATTGAGCGTGTAATAAAATAAAACGTAGGTATTAATATCAATGTATCTAATATTAAATGATAATGCGTATATAGCAATACATACGTATATATATATATACTGTAATATTATAGTCTCACAAACAATGAAAATATATGATATTATTATTTGTTATGTGTTGTAAGACGTCGTCGTAGTTTTTTAACGTCAAATAGTTTAAATATTTATACACTATTTTACTTGGACATTCAGATTTTAATTTTACGCAATCCAGACACAATAATAATGACATTAATTAATAAAATATGATATTATTGTGTGTCACAACGGCGGTGTAGTAGAAATCACGACAACGAACCTCATCTGTCCCCAATATAAAATAACCGAACAGCAAGAGAAAAAAAAATATAGAAAAAGGTAAAAGAATGACCACAAAAACACTGCGTAATTATTTTAATGTTTCCCTAATCGAGTCTTGGCTGTATTAATGGATGTATAAGTTGTATATCATAGGTATAATATGAGCAGTAAATATTATCGTTTTTTTACGAATTTCCTACGGTATGTACGACGAGAATGGGACGTGTAGGTAATAACAATAATGCCGTCTATACGTCATGATAACCAATTGAAATCGTCAGAAATGGATTAAATAATAATAGTAACGAAACAGATTAAAAAAAAAAAAATCATCCCAATACGAGTATATGTATGACGCGCGCACACACACGCTCGCATAATGGGCATCGTGTACAGAAAAACGGACGGTTTTTCTTGTCGTTATCCAAAACACAGACCGTGTCGAAATTAGACTCGATGTTATATATATATATTATATTGTAATATATATATTATATATATATATATAACGACGATGATGTGTGTATGAGACGAAACGCGACGGGCGCGGAGGAGGAAAGAACTACGGAAAAGAACGGAAAAAAAAATGTAAACCGAAAACGTTATTCGTAAGAAAATGTAATATTTCGTATGGGGAATAATATTATAATATCGCCGGATAAGTTGTGGTTTGGATTTCGGTGTAATTATACGGTACGCCGTCGTAGTCGAGACGTGACTGTATATACGTACGCGCGCTAGTGGGTATATTATCCGCGACTGGGCCCCCGCAGACTCGTATTTTATTTTTTTTACTAAATTTCGATAAATACTTGAAGTCGTTATTATATTTCTTCGGAAATCAATTATTATCGAAACGACCTCAAAAACAGTTTGTACAAGCTCGCTACAGTATAAGACAACGTGTAACATTGAATACGTCTAGGCCCGTCCCTCTTGTCTCCCAACCGACGTGGTCAGAAATCGAGAAAGGGAAACTTGGAGGGGATCTAGACCACTCGAACCTCTGTCATAGGTGTATCTATTTATTTATCAAAAGCAAATATTAGCAACAGTAAGATTATTGACTAGTTTTCATTAAAGAAAGAAAACAAGTCTATTGTACTAAATTCGTTAAAGAAACCTCCTTTTTTATTATTATTAAATATCCTTAAATTAATATTGTGTAGTAAGCATCAAGTTTTATTTCACTATAATATAGTATTACTACATTCTATTGAGAATATTAAACCCCTCTTTCCCCCTTCTTAAAATGTTAACCCAGTTCCGTTTGTATGGTCCATGCGATCTGAGATCTCCGCCTGAGAATATAATACCAACAGGCTAT